AATATTTATAATATATATATCGAACTAGGAAGTAATTATTTTTACACGAGCTATATAGTATATCATATATTATATTTTATTCGTAAATCATTGGGTCAGGGCTCATTTTTTTAATGATAACAAGCCGTGTCATTAATTTCGTTTTCAATCGATATTATTTGTAAGTATTAATCATTTTATGACGAGCGTATCACTGCTCGACCTTCGAATTGGCACAAATGCTTCACAGTTCAATGCAGTTTGCCGTATAGATTTTTTTACAAGGGGGTAGGGTTTAAAAGTTTTCAAATAAACCAGCAGTCACATTTTATTATTACCCGCATCAAACGATAAACAGCAATATCGTGACGGTAAATCATTTCATTCGTATACTACATAATACAATATAATAGTCTTAGAATAATAATATTCTTTCTTTTTTTTTTTAGAATTGTTTGTAAGTCAAAAAACACGTTATATATTTTTTTTTTTATAAAACGAGTGAATAGCTGTTCAAAAAATAATTACGCTATAGAAATATAGAATAATAATTTCGTTTATAGAGGAAAGAGAGAGCGAAATCATTTAAAAGAAGTTTGCGTGACGCATACATTTCTTCGGCCCACGACTGTAGATAAGATTATCTTTAATTATGCTTCTGCCTAATTGTATTGTATAGCTACCCTTGTTTAAAGTTATATGCCATTTAGTGTCTCATATGTCTCTTTGCAGTGTACAAGTCGATAAAAATATCAGGAAGAGTTCAAAATATGCATAATAGCACATTAAACGTGTACACTAGAAATACATAACTAATTTTATTCAATTATATTTTAAATATAATTTATAAGTCTGTTTTCCCATGTAATTATTTATTTTAGAAAACCGAAAAAATAATAATACTTATTATGTTAGATATTTTTGATGTTTAAGTAATGTATTTACAAAAATCAAAAAACATTTCTACTTTTAAAAACGATAAAATTCAAAACAAAGTATTGAAATATATTATGAATATAATATATTGTTTACTATAAATAGTATCTATATTATTACGTACTTTTTATTTTTTTTTGTAATATCACAACTGAGGTTGGTATTATTTTTCACTTCAGTTTTATCATTTATTGTACAACAACAACTATAAAATTATACAAAATCATCTCTATGAAAATATATAATGAGTCCTTGTTGCTTACAACAACACAAGAAAAAGCAGATCTGCCATGATCGTCATTCCACTCGTGCGTATTATTAAATACTTTAGAGTTTGAGACCTTAGGTTAAATTTTTGTGTTTACATTTTGAAGTGCAATGATGTTTACAATAGTATATTTTACCAAATATAAATCATTGCTGCAAACTGATCAAAAACATTTTTAAACGATAATTTTATAAGTCATTTAGTATATTTTTTTATAGAAATAATTTTTTTTTCAATCACTTGGAAATGTCTAAATCGTTGCTATTTTAATATTTGTCTAAAAAATATTTATGTAGATATCTACTATTCAATATACAAATGAAGACAATCATCATAATATCTTATAATAGTGTAACATAATTTATTGTTTCACAAAATAAATGTTTTCTTACGTTTTGTGTTTTAAATATTTGTGCTGTGATTTAAATTATCTACCTACAAAGCGACCAATTTTTATACTAAAAATATTTTATTACCTCAACTTATCGGAATAAATAAATTGTTCTTCGAAAGTACCTATAGGTTATTGCTATAGTAAATTATAATAATCAATATCAAATTTAATGATATTTGGTAGGTATGACATTAAATGTGTTCTTTCAATATCTTAAAACGCGTTTTATTTACAATAATTTATTCATATTGAATTAATGCAAGATTTAAATGCTTAGTTTTTTTATTCAAAATACGTATTGTATATTTTATTTAGTACATACAATATAAATGAATTGCTTGAATGTTTAAATAAAATTAATAAAAATATGAATATTTTACTTCCTTTATATACATAAGTGATAATAAATGTTATTTGCGTTATATGTATGTAGGTACTTACATTGTTATGATATCTGAACTGAATATAACGAATAATGATGGACCTCATTATATTAGATAATCAAATCTCTCACTATGATCCTTGGATATTTTTGCCCGCCCAATGTTCAGATTCACCATGAAGGTTGTTTTAGTAAATATACATTATATATGGATAAACAAATGTTTTAATTATACGTTCTTGTGAATTTAATTCAATAAGTGGTTAATATAAAAATATTTAATTGAAGACTATAAATTAAACGGACAAGTGTGCTTGCTGACTGCTGTAATAGACAAAATTACCCAGAGTATTTAGGGTCTTAAGTCTTGTAATTCGATAACAGAAACTAGAAGATTCGTATATATATTATTTTTTTATTTTATTTATCTTTTTTTTTTTTTTGATTGTAGGTATATTTTATAAGATTTATAATAATTCCATCATAATATAATCAATATTTTGTCTTTGATCTAATAATTTTAATAAATATATTATATTATAATAGTATAGGTAATACGATTTATACCTGATCACAACTAATATTCTTATAATTAAGCTACTTAGTTATAATACTTATGTATCCATATTCAATATGCCATATTCTAATTGAAAATTTGTACTTAATAAATTAAAAAAATAACTTAAGCATTAAAATATAATATAAAATCAATAATGTAATTTCTCTGACCTACTCCTTTCAAGGCATATTATGCAGTATGCAGTTCGCTATAGTTGTTAGTTTATATTCAGTAATTGTTAGTTACATATTTTGAAGGTTAAAATAATAGGGTATTATTTAATCGTTGAAAAATTATCGTGTTTTTCAAGTACCTATATTCTATTATTATTTAAATTTAACACGCTGAACAAATAAAAGTAACTCAAAAATTGAAATCTATATTTATTTACATGTAATTAATTTAACTTTTGTACCTTAAAAGCTAACCCAACGACTCAATAACAAGTAAAAATTGCTTAATGTATATACTTAATACAATAATAGGTGCCTATTAACAAATAACAATATATTATATTAAATTTTTAATTCGATATAAATTTATAAATTCGATGTTTCACAAAATCACGAATCAGAGGACACCTTTTTATTTTTGTTATAAATTGTTGGCACTTTGAATACATTGTTAAATTACTGTTTAAGAACTTTGAAATATATCCGTGTTTAACTATACTTTATATTATTTAAATATAAGGTATTATTCTTATGTGAATATGATATAATTGTCATCGATATTTTTAGGTACATAATGGCAATCGAGGATGGCCTTGCCAAATTTTTCTTTGTGGCTTTACAAATGTTAAACGACATTTGAATGATGTTATTATTGCATTTTAAACAATTAGTTCTTTGATGCAACTGCTAAATAATAAAGTAACAGGTTTTAATTAGTACGAGTTTCATATTTTAACGTATAGTTGTAATTATAAATTTGACGGCCTAGACATCAGGGTTGAATTAAACTTAACGAGCAGGTTTCAATTCATTTTTAAAAAATATAATAAGCTAAATGAATACATATAGTCTATAAAATAATTAAATGGCCTCAAGATCTATAAAATCTTAGTTATATATACATATTTAGTTGATGGTAAAGTTAATTGATAGTCTGACGCATTTATTGCACTTAACCTGCTAACTAGGTAGTAGCCATATAAAAATAAAATAAAATTATTGAAAATTCCCCTTTAAGCATTATAATAATTAATAATTATTATTACGAGTTTATTAGAGGTTACAATTATTGTTTTCTACTTATTGAGTATTAAATAAGAGTTTGCACTTTTCATTTCAAATTAACATCCAACAAAATTAATAACTCCCGTCAATACTTATGTACAAGTATACCTATTAACTAAAGTAAATATTCTATATAATATACAAGGTTATTAAAGATTCTTTTAAAGGTAAACATTCATTTAATAGAAAATTATTAACGTAATAAGATTTTTTTTTTATATAATTTGAAGTCATTACAAAACAAAATTTTAGAAAACAATTGTTTTATTAACGTTATCACTTTTTAAGTGTTTAATTTTTTCAGGATACACTTTTCATTTCATAATCAAATTTGAAATATTTCACTATAAATTTCAAAAAATAATAAAAAACGAATTTGAGTGAGTAGGTATTTATTATTTATAACTTTTTTAATCATTGATTTTTAAATTTCTTACGAGAAAAATTTTTTGAACTGACATTTTGTGCGGTACTTGACTGGATTTATCTATGTATAAAAAACATATTTATAAAACCGTTTGAAAAATGAATATTTAATTTTATAAGAATGACCTATTGCACATAGGTATTATGTAAAATATACAGTTTTAATTATACATTTTAAGATTTAATGTTAATAATTGACAGCCGACAGGATTGCTGTGAATAACGGATCGTTAATTTATTCTTCAATCACTTTATTTGCGAAAGTCTACAAATCTTAATTACTAGTATCCAATTACATGATAATTATTCATTAACAATTTTTTACACGACAACAAAACACGTAATTAGTGGAAATATCAATTTCGTCTAAACATTACCACGGTTTATCAGAGTGCAGAGCCCAGCATAATATAAATAATATTAATTATTAAGTGTTACTCTGCAACGTATAATTTCTGATAGTTTTAAAAATAAATAGCAAGATCCCTGAGCGTAAAAAAAAAGTTGCCTAAAACAATGAATATTTGGCGATTTTTCAAAACAACTCTCGCACGCATACGCATATATTATATGTATATACTTTACTCATATACTCGGAGTCCGGACAGCTAACAAAAATATACTCGTGTATTAGCGAACGCGTGTTTACGAATTTATTTTACTGCACATTTATGCATATTAATAATATATATATATATATATATATATATATTGATAAAGTGACGCCTACTCCATGTGTTGTTGTTTATTCGAACAAATAATTATTATTCCCTTTCGTCCGCCAAAGAAACGTTATAATATTACATTATGTATGTATACGTTCATCCAGAAACATTCGGTCGTCCGTCTGTCCGTCATCGTCTTCGCCGTTCGACACATGGGCACACACATATTACATAGGTACTATACATAGTCGCTATTTTTAATAATAAATATATGATAGTGTTTCAAGTGTATAAACGTGTTCGTATATGCACATTTAATATATTTACATATATTACCGTGCGTATTATTGTGTGTGAAATCGCGTACAATGAATTTTGTATTGTTTATGTTTTTCCGCGATAATATTTCTCCATAATAACACTACACTTTTATGTAGTGCGTACTAGGCGTAGATATATAATTGATAATTATATATATTTATGTATATTAGAAGATTTATTATTATTTACCATATACCTTCGAAGTTTGATGTTTTTTAGTGTGTTTACTAAACACATATGTTCAGTATACATAAGACACTGTGTTATTGTTATTGCATTTACTATACACTTGACTGTAGTGCGTATATTGCAGTTTATAAATCGAACAAATACAATATGAATTTTTTTTGAAAACACCACGCCAGCACATTATCGGCCCGCCGCCGGTCATCACATAATATTATATCCTGTTTTCGACTGTTAGTTTTTTGCACTGTCATTCAAAACACGTCAATTATTAACTTAATCTAATATCAATAGTTATGATATTTTACATTATATTTTTCTCTAGACTACTGTTTAAGACGATTAAAGTTATGCATTATTATTTTCTTTCTCTGACCCACTTCGCGCAAATTTTGGTTCAGCTGCAGAACCAATCCTGTGTTACTACTTGTTAAATTCAAATTAGATTGAATTGGTGTATTATAAAACTCAGAGTTCAAGTACTTAATTTGTGTTTTTACGTTAAATTTTTAGAGATGTTTAAAAATATTGTGGTATTTAAAGGTTAATGTTAAATTTTAGTATTTTACATAAATTGCATAACAATTGAAACATCGTAAGACATCCAAGGTAATGATCAGAATAACCTATTGATAACAGTTAATAACACAAGATTGGTCCTGCTGAACGAAAAATTGCTATGCAGCACGTGGACCTGTAGATAGAGAAAACAAATGGTGCAATGACATCTTGATAATATTTATGTATATATTTAATTAGTAATCAATATTAGATTCCTTATATAATTATATTATAATACGAGTAATAGTATAGATCACCATAGATGTAGATAATCTGTTGTTCAAATTTTACGAACTGTTTTACATTTTACTTTTTTATTTTATCATTACAGCCGCAGTTACACGGTTTCCTAAGTTTGGCAAACGATCAATTTCATTACTCACACTTTTCTGTTGGAATAATCTGGCGTATTACCGTCGACTATCTGCAACAAAATTGATCATTGACTATCTGCGTTTGATAAGCAAACCAGTAAACTACTGTCGGCCAATTTTATACATATAAAAAAAGTATGTAAGCACACGATTATTACAATTAATATAATAATTTTATATGTAACTGCAATTTAATACTAATTTCAATTAGACTCGTGTCAAAGACGTCAGAACGATTTTTAATCTGTAAATATTAAGTGATTTAATGAGTAATGACGGAATAAAAAAAAAAAACCTACATTTCATTATTATATTATACGCAGACGCAATTATAAATGATATAATTATACATAATATTAAATTGGTTGTTTTAAAATCAAATTTCATTGAAACATATACACAATACAATTTAATAGTTAATCATTTTGTTTACACTTGTCGAATATTATGTGGCTTTTATAAAGACTATTTAAAGGTTTAAAACCATTCTTTCTCTTGTATAAGGCGTATATAAGGTTTATATACAATATAGATAAATAATAATAATAATTCATTCATTAAGTGAAATAAGTAAAATAATTTATCATCAAATAAATATTAATATTGTGAATGTATGAAAATAAATTTAAGCTCGTTTTCCGTATAATATTTACTGAGGCACCATATATCCTCAATAAGTTAATTCGACAAGAAAGAAATCGACGCAATAGTTCAAAGCATCATCTGAAGTATGTAGTTGTACGTAGGTATCTAATTATAAAACTAAATTCTAAGAAAACATTTATTATCGTTAAACGTCATTTATGTATTTTGAAAAAACATGTTTTTTTCTCAATGTACAACTTTTGATTATATAATAATTATATTTTATAAATACTAAATACCTATAATTAATAATAGCGATGACGAAATAAAAAAAAAACCCAATCGCTTACGTGGAAAAGATTATGAAGTTTTTAAAAAAATTTTTAAAATACAATTAAAAACTTAGATATATATTTTATTTTTGAGTAGGTATTCTAATTTTACGATCATAACAGTCCACAATAACATGTAAGACTGCATACTAATTTTCAATAATACAATAATAATTACTTTTTCAATTTTTTTTTTCGATAACCTGTTAACATAAATAAATAATATATTAGAAAAAACATTGTAGTTGAAAAAAATATATCCAGTAGGTTATTCACTATTTAGCAATAAATTATTATTTTTTATTTGAAACCAATTGTGTTTTAAATTTAAATAAAATTGTTCGGATGAATGATATAAAAATCGGAGCTCGTAAGCTCATGTCCTTAACAAAGCCTAAATAAATATGCACTCATGCACTAAAAACTGGCAAAATTTGCATTGAAATATGCCTTAAATGTTTAGACATATTCATTTATATGAACTATAAATTTAAAATTATGCCCTTGGAATATACAGATTAAAAAAGGGAAAAAAGAAAGGTTGAAATAGTCAAAAATAAATCGTTGTAAAAGTATCAAGAATATAAGAGTGCTTCATACGAGTATAACATGTTTTCTACTAATTTCGTAATGTGGATGTCATATCTACATTGATTAACGAAATTAAATAGTGACTTCTGCATTTTATTTTTACGGCTTCGACAATTATTCTCGTATATTTTATACAATAAAAATTTATAAATTATTAAATTTTTCATAAAATTTTGGCCAAAAATACGCTAAAAATTTCATCATTGATTTTTACACTCTATGAATGTTCTACATTCAGAATACATTTTACAAGATACAAATAAATAATCGAATAACTTTACTATTTTGTTGTTATAAAAAGACAGTTGTGCGCCTACAGATATTGTGCTCTACTTTTGAATATTTATGATTTATTCAAATACGCCGTGTCTATCAAGCGCAATCGATTCTCCAATAGGTATATCTATATTATGATCTTTCTTTTACAATTTCTTTTGTATCTAAATAATGATCATGATATTTAAAGTATAATGACTTGTATGCACTAACCGACCATGAGACAATCACTTTAATCAAGATCGTGCCATGAAACCAATGTCTTGTCATAAATTAATTTTTATTGGATATACAGTATATCTACCTGTGTGAATCGTCTTCTTGTATGCTAAAGGCGTAATAATAGATAGCGGTGTATTATAATATGAGGTCAGATTACTTCCACGACTCCACATAACTTAAAAGCATATGGATTTTTTTTTCATTTTTATCTTTAGGTTTATTGTTTTTCACTTTATTATAGTTAATCTATATTGACAAGATGCTTTACACGTCTACAAATTCACAAGTTCTCAAACTTAAATCATTATTTTTAAATATATTAAAATTGAACACCGAAAAAATATTTATTCCAGTCAAATGAAAATATTAAGATAGACTTATAAATTATAATATTCAAAGTCTAATAAAATACTTAATTTTATAGTTTATTATTTAATTTTCATATATTATAATATATTTTGTAAATCAATACATTTTTATATTTTTATTTTTATGTATTTTTAAAAACTAATTATAAAAAAATGAATATTATTTTCCTAATCGCTGCAATTACAACATAATATATATTTAAAATCTTTAACTATAAATAATTTACCTATGTTCATTCATTCCCATTCAGTTATGGTGACCTTATTTTCATAGCTATACTGTACGTATACTTGTTTTTGTGCAACGTCCTAATATGATTAATACGATACAACTGTGAATAAATAATGAAATATAATTTTTTTAACATTCTAAAACATTTTTATTAAATTTTCCAAAATTAAAGCTTTAAATATAGTATATGGTTTATTGTAATATGTAGGGTAAAACTGATATTTAAATCTTTGTCCAACCTTATACTATTGTCTATTCTTTAATGTGAGTCACTCACGTGCATAAATATGACGTTTTCTTACGATTTGTTTAATTTATTGAATAGTTAATGTAAAAAAATAGAACTTTTAAATTATTCTTATAATATACCTGTAATAAATAATACTGTATTTTTTTTTTCATAAAAAATTTTCCAATATAAAATATTGAGTACTATTCTTTATTAGTTATAATCATATTATTAAACTATTTTTTGTAAATTGTAATGGTAAACCGTTTTTATGTGTAATTGTATTTGTAGTATATTTTATAGTCTAGAATACATAGGCTATTAAATGAGCATAGAAGTGTAGAATAATTATAGGTAAGTTTGTGGCCTATAAATTATAACCGTTTAATTTTTTATCAGTTTTAATAGTATTTTAAATCATATAGTACAATAATTATAACCTATTATTTATAATAATTATTTTGATTACAAAATTACAATTTTAAACACTCTTATTGTAACATATTAAGACTGTAAAAACAATTCAATTAATTTTTGTTTTTTTTTTAAGTATATAATATACAATCTATACTCTAGAGTACAATTTCTAAGAATATTTGATAAGTAATTCTACTCAGTTACAAAAAAATGTACTAGTTTTGTTTTTTTAAAAATAAAATGTAACATTAACTATATTATTGATTCTTTTGAATTTATCTAGTTTAATATAAATATCTAAATTTCAAGTCTATTTAGACTTAATTATGGAATAATACCTTAAACAATTAGAATATTATTCTATGGTCCACGATCAAGACTTTCAAACAGGTTGATGGAGTAATGTATTTTTAAAATTTTCTTATGATGCTTTTCGGGTCCGATTCAATTTATTCAGTGGTTACCGAGAGTTAAAATTCTCTAGTCTAATAAGTTTTTTTTTACGTACAGGTGCTCAAGTGGGTACAAAAAACGAAATTATATCAGTGAAAACTATTGGTCACGTGATACCGGTGAATGTTACACTATAAGTACTAGCGAGCTGCGTATTGGAAGGCCGGCCACAGGTAGTGACCTCGGCATTGAAGTCTCTTCGCCGAGACAACGTCGTTCAACAGTTATCGTGTGTACGACTTCCTGACTGATGGAAAAATAGCCGCGTTGTACAAGTAATTCCAGTAAAATTCAATTGTTTTATTATTTATTTTATATATTTTTTTTTTTTACTCTATTTTACAATTTACGATTTCTCACGGCAATTGAATACTAATTTATTTTTACTCTCTAATTATAATTTCTAGATGATTATTATTTATCACTGAAATTAACTATTTATCAAGTATAGAAATATAGTGTTAAATCGCACCCGAAAACCGCACAGTTGTTGTTCTCACTACCGGACTCATCGGTTCATAATTGCTTTTGTTCTGCAGTGTGATATACCTACACTTTGTGAGTAATTGTGATTTGGTTTTTAAAAACTTATTTATGAAAAAGATTCTCATATATTTCTTGTGAATAAGAACAAAATGGAAAAGCCGTGTCGGTATGACTTATCCGCAATTAAAAGATCACTGGAGCTGGCTGAAACTCTTGCTAGTGTTAGCTTAATGACATCTCCAGCTGCAAAACGACGTTTACAAGCAAGAAGTGTTGAATTAGGATTAAGACCAGGCCAACCGTATGAACCACCCAGAGAATTACTTTTGTACTTGGTTAGGTAAGTTTTAAAAAAAATTATGGTTACTTGTCACATGGTTAATTTTTGTGTAAATATAGAATTAATTGATATCTATATTATACTATTTTAATCATGTGTATTATTTAATACCCAATGATTCTATTTTAAGATATAATATTTAATTTATGTTTCATTCAACATAAATAATATTTATTTTATGACAGTAGACACTATGTAATAATAAATCATTCGTTGAGTACACCTATCTACATTTCAATACAAATATTTAATGGACAATGGCATGGGCATAGGTAGAAAATATTTTCGGAGGGGGTTTTGGTCTAGGTCTTTTATTAATATTATAAAACATTAAAATTAAATATGAATTATTTATTTAGTTTTATCTTTAATTTCGAGGGGTGTTTGAACACCCAAACTCCTCTTACTTACACTCATAGACAATAGTATTATTTTAACAATTTATGTTAATTAATGATAAACGTTAACTGCAATTTTTACATTAAAAAGCATGTATTTTTCCCCTTTACGATAGAAAAATAATAATTACATTATGCATATTTAAAATTATTATAACTAATTCGAAAATCATTAAATATTAATGTCTCATCTCATGCAGAATTACTGTTTAATAGTGATAAAAATATTTTAAATAGTGACTGAATTATTCTACCACTTCAGATTAGTAAATTCTCGTAACATAACATTCCGTATATGTACATACAAAATTTGTTATTTTTTTTTTAAATAATTATTTTTGTGAATTTAAAATTAAATTCTTTAGCACTTAATACTACTATATCTATTATAATTTCTAAATATTTAATAATAAAACACTTAATGAAACATAAATTACAATATTGTAAGTTAGAAATTTCATAAACATCTACATAATATTTTCATCGTGCTAAATTAATTTTTATTTATTCTCATAATACAATACGAGTATATAGCCATTTAATAGGTATGTATTCTAATTTTTTGTATGTAAATTAATCGGTATTTTGATATATAAAAATTAAAGATTATGCGGGTTAATATTATGAATTATGATAATCATGTAGAAAAGACTTGTCAAACAGCATAATTTTTATTACTATGTAAATTATACTGAATGAATAGATAAAATTTGTTATTTTTTATGAAAATAGATCTGTAATTGGTTATAAGTAAATTTATTTAGTTAACAGTTTTAGAAAAAAAAAGGTTTTTAAAATAACTCTATAATTGGTTATATATTAATTAATTTAATTAAAATTAAAAAAAAAAATTTTTAATAACTTTTGATGACCTCGAATATAAATTATAATTAATTTCAATATAAATTATATAACAAGTAATATTTTTTCACATTTTTTATTTTTGTTTTTAAACTCATATTATGAGTAACTTTTAATTCTTAAGGTCTGTACTTGGTGCTTATTAAAATTTATCTTAAAATTTAAGGATCAAAAAATGAATATGTAGTGTTATCGTAGGTAATATTTCTAAAATATATACACATTTCTCAAATGGTAAATTTTTTCAAATGTACAATACTTATTCACCGTATTTTATTTCAAAGTCAATAAAGATAATGATCCTCTTTCTAAAATGTAATTTCTTATATTATATTATTATGATTAAACTTTAATTTATCAATTCATATATTAAATAGTTAGTAAACAGTTAACTTCAATCAAGTGATTAGATATAAGAACATTGATTTAAAAACAATAAATATTTTAGTTCAATTTAAATTATAAAATATATTTTAATAATGTTATTTTGGTTAAACTCAGTTAAGAGTATAATATGACTTCAAAAAAGTAATTTATATCAAATTAATTAAAATAATTTTTTTCAACTATTTTATTATTTTATTACTAAAAATATCTAATTTTTAAATACTGTAGGTATTAAATGATGAAAATCAGTATATAATTCTAAACTGCTAATAACGTAAATAACGTAAATGACAAAATGAATAATTTATATTTGAAAAGTTTCATTCCATGTCTACTATACTATGTGTTTATGTAAAATAAAATAATTAATTTTGTTGAAACCTTACACAATTACTCTGACCCTTGTGAAAATTGACTTGGTAGTTGACGCGTAGTAATACATCAGTTGCAATAAGAGTTAAAATCAGTTATTTTATTATCATTGTTGATAAAATATTTCATCCAGTTTATTTAAGTACCCACTAAGTATTGATGGTGGAAGAGTGTATAATGTTTTATTAATGGTTATAATTCTGTACAAGTGTCAAGTGTTAAACTATATTACTTAAATCGTTTTGCAAGCATTATTTATTAACTAAATATTAAGTAAGTTTGTTATTATTAACCTTAACATTAATACATTATAATTTATTTTATTTAGTAGGTAAACGTTTTATAAACTACCTACTTACGCTAAAAAAAAATAAATTATTTTGCTGTAATCATGTTAAAATTTAATACATTTTTCATTTCATGGACAATTATTAAATGTATTATATACTATTTGAACACATTTTACCATGTATCAATGCGTTTACTATTTATGTAGAAACTATTTGTTTATTTGTATATACATTTAATACATTTTAAAATCAAATCCTGATAAAAAGTTTTAAGTCAATTTATATTAAAACTTACAATTTCTTAAACGATTTTTTTTAAAAGTTTTTTAAATTTAATTATATTGATCTATTAAAACGAAAAAGTGAAAGTGAGTCATAATAATTATTAGATATAATATTGTTAATTGTTATAGGCAGCTATTATTGTTATTTCCTTATTGGTAAATTGTAGTATGTTTACAAAAATAGGTAGGTGTAAGGCACTAAAATCTAAGATGTACATTTCAATACGAAACAAAAACAATACATAGACCTTGATATAATAACTAAATATAAAACAAACAATTAGAAAAATGAGATATAATACTAAAATAGTAAAATGTTTTGCCTTGATACTGAGTAGTCAGAATCAGTTTATCGAATTAAGTTTAGCATTAATCCAAAAATAAAACTAGTCAATAATTTGTAAATTTCACGAAAATCAAGGTTTATCTTTATTATTTTATGCATAATCTTCAATCAGAAGTTGACATTGAAATAGTGAAAGAAAATCCACACAATTATTTTGAATTATGTGTATAAAATAAGTATACCAGTTTTAATTATAGTGTATAATATATCATGTTTTTATCGAACTCTAGTTACTAAAGCACTGTTATTATGGCTAACGTAAATACATAGTATAATGTTAATTATTATCAATAGTGTTAAATATTTAGTCTTCTCTAAATTTTATGTTAAAAGGACCCCCCCCCTCATAAGTAAAACATATATAATGATTTCTTTTATGGAATATTATAATTAACAAAGATTTTTTATTCACATATATATATATATATATATATATATAAATGGTAACCCCCTATAAACGAATTCTGCTTACACCACTAGTTAACAGTTTAATAATTATTTAAATATATACATGAAATGAATCCATTTGGGACACAACGTAAGATTTCAAAATAAATTACTGATTTGAAAATTTGTATGTTAAGTAAGAATTTAGAAATTATATTATTTAGTATTTATTTTAAATTTTACATCATGTTTTATAAATTATTAATATTTGTACATATTCCGTATCGTTCCAGCACATACCTGCTTGATAGTTGATATTAATTATTATTTAATAAAAATGACTTTATAATTGTAATCGATAAACTTTTCAAATATTATTTAGATTGGACTTTTAAATAAATACTATTTATGATGATGATGAGATATATATATTAAAATTTTAAACAGTATTAATGTATTCCCATAATAACATAAATTAATAAACGGAATAAACAAATTTGTCAATAAACTTATTAATTTTTTGTATAATGATTATGAAAGGGATGCATTGAATATTGAACATAAAAGTCGAAATAAAAATTAAAATAAGTCCTTAATTCTGCAGGTAGGTCTTTAAATATAGTCTAAGTGGACGAATAATAAGTATAAGTTTTGGTAGGTAAAAACTAAATAGTGGTTGTTATAAATCATAACAATAACAGCAGTGGTGTGTTGAAACTTATATACCAGCTACTGGATTTTCCAAGTATGCTCGCCACTATTTTTTTCCGTTAATAATATGATTATTCAAGTTCTGACTTTTAGAATTTCCATGTAGGTGGCACTTACGTATTGTTCACAATATTATATTCAGACACTTACCTCGAGCCTCTTCCGAATATTTTTCCTATTTACGCCATTGATAGTGCGTCTTGGCGAAGAACATTTTTGACAAAAATAAAATAACAAACTCCAAAAAAAAAATATATATATCCCAACGAACCTTTACGACTATGTAGAAAAAAAATAGCTGTTGAGTGGCTAAAATCTATGTTTGGGGAGCCAAGTCTCATAGACCTACCCCCTCTTCCCAAAAATAGTGGCCCAATACATTTAGTTGAGGCGATAACGGATTCAGTATTGATAGAATACCTACATAATAAATAACAATATAATGACAGATTTACCACAGTTCAAAACTTGTAGACCTATACCACGCACGGCGTTAATAATAATATAATATCATCAATATTATCGTATTGTTATAATTACGTGCGGTGGCGGTAAGCACCAGCTAGGTGGGCAGATATCCGATAACGACTCGGTCACCGCGGGACTCGCGCACAATGAGAATACGAACCGACTCACCGGCGGTGGCGGGGGCGCGTAATCCGCTACACGCGCGACCAGTAACATAATATTATTATAATGGGTAATAGCCCATTGTATACGGTCGTCGTTCGTCTCTGGACGGAGAAGAGATTGACAACTTTGATACAGACACGAGGAGGCTGCGTGCACTTTTCTCGCGCGTGTACACGCCGCATATATTAAATTGTTTAACACGTCTTATTATTATTATTATTATATCGTATAAGTATAATATCGTTAAAATACAGGGTGATTCACCAAGCACGATCACTCCTACTACTTACTCGAGGAGTGTCTCGCACTGATACACACTTCTGTTTTTCAAATGAAATCCATCCCCCTTTTTTTTTTGTAAATTATATAGTCGATAATTTTTTTGAAATGTTGATGTGCTTAGTTCAAAATTTGAACGAACAGTTTTTCAATTTTTAAAATGTATTCAACTAGAATAATAGTCCTTAAAAATGATTCTACAAAAATAAATAATAAATGTAATATTCGATCTATTATTTATTATACTCTTGGACCGTATTTACCAAACTTAAATGTCGATAGATTAATATTAATCGCTAAAATGTTTATATACCGCTACCTATCTTCCAAACGTATTATAATGAACCTTATCGTTAATACGCAGAGTTAAATAACTCAAAAAATATTCGTTTGAAATTCGATTTTGATACCCTAATAATCTTGAATTATGGTTTAATACAAATTCGATTTTTAGTAAAAAGCTTTTTTTTATTAGAATTCCGAAATCAAGACCATTTTACAATGAAAAAGGTTTTTAGTTTTTGTCGATCATCAGATGAGATATTGTACCTAGAATTAATTTTTATCATCGTATTTTAGGAACACGGAGACCATATTTTAGTTTTTTCGCACTGTTCTGTTATTAAAATTATCGTTGTTATTATCACAAAAACTCCGCAAAAATGTGTGCCATTATAATGGAAGACGGTAGTTGGAATTGAAAAGGTTAAAATTTCCAAAAAAGTTATCCTCTACATGATTTAGTGTATAAAACGAGGGTTTTCGTATGAAAATTAGAATTTCGTATCTCCACACAATACTTCTTTAGTGGAAAAAAATTATCATTAATTTGAATACTGTCTGTATGTATATTAAAAATCAGATTTTGAACAACTGCGTGTTATTAAAGAAAAGAAGGAGCAAGCATGCTTGGTGGATCACTCTGTTTATGACGCATATACATTTACAGCGCAGTGTATACATCATTATACATCTTAAGTACACATTATATATATATATATATATATATATATAGTTTACGGATAAATATCGGTACAGACCGCGTGACGTAAATAGGTACAAACCAGCGTTGCAGTGTGCGTGAACGATAGTATAATTTTGTAAACGCGTACAATATAATGGGTACACGCGCTGTGACTTTTGTACGGGTGTACGGGTTAGAGAAGAGAAAACGTGAACAAAAAACATCACGTGACTAGAATGGACGAGAAAAAAATGAATAGTAAAAAGTTTCGTTAAGCCACGTATTTGCATAACTGTAGCGAATCCATGGCGCTTGTATAAATAAGGAATCGTAGCGGGCGGAGAACGAGTCTTCCACGGCGTTTTCAGCTTTCGTATAACTACGTCATACCGAACAGTTCGGGCGCGCGTTCGAGTCGGGATTTTTAAAAAGCAAAATACTCGTTTTTTGTTTTTCGTCAACGCTATTTACTCTACTTGTACATACATACACACGCATTCCATCTATATCAACACAGTTTTCGATTTATAAATTTTACACACGCCATGTCCGAAAACGCTGCAACCGTAGACTTAGACTATCCAGAAATGGGATCGCCAAATTATTCCAACACCTTTCAATTGAGCGCACTTCATAAGAAGAGACTTTCGATAATTAGGTAAAGAAATACGCGGTTATTGTAATAAACAGGGTTATGAATTTAAAAAAATACTTAATACATATTGTACACTCAAAGGTAACCAGGACATATTTGTGGTCTTAATTGTAAGTCTATAATAATTGGTACATTCAGATTAAAAATACGTAAGGCCATGGAACAGCAGTAGAGTACCTGATACTCTTCTTATTTAAAAACATTTTTAATTATCTACTACTTTTTACGGTCGTATAAAATATAATAATCTTGTAATACCATTTAAAATAGAATGATTAAAAACAAACAAAGCTAGTAAAATAGTACATTAATTAAACAATATTAATTATATCACAGTATTATACACAATTATTATAAATTATTTGAATATTTTAAACAAAGGCACTACATATTATTAAATATTTACTACAACTATACAGCGGTAACAAATTTTATTTTAAGGGTTGGACTCTATTATAACTAATTGTTTTACTTGCTAAAATACCTGTAGGATATATCATATCAATAATCAATAATTTAATACGTAATTACTAATTAATATATGAAATATACAAATATAAATACATGGTAATAACGTTTTCCTAGTAGGTTGTAGGTACCTGATACAACTACAAAAATTACAAATACATTCAACTACATTATTGTTCTGAATTCCTTTTTTTGATTTAATATTTGCCTACGTTATTCATTTATTATATTGTTTGTAAATAGGTAAATATATATTTATTAAGAATATATTATTTAGGTAGCATTTTTTTCTTAACATCAATATTTTTCATTTCATTTTTTAAAATTCCTTTCAAATGTATACATTGAAAATAATTTTGTAGAAAAAAATGAGCCGCAATCTCCTGAACCGTGCCCTCCTTAATTCAGATTGGATTTATAACTGAAAAATTATTGTCATAGTTTGTCAAAAAAACATCAAATCTAACCAAATATTTTTTGATGTCAGATACAAATTAGGAGGAAAGTAGACTAAGTATTATTTGTTATTAATTAAAATAATGTTACAAATTGGTCATTGCTCGTTATACGTTTAATAATTTCATACTACCCATAACCCAATTTCATGTTATAGTGTGGCGTAGATATTACATTTAAAAATGGCCTTACATAAATTATGTACTAAAAATTCTAAAATTCATGGTATTATGTAAAACAAACTTACTTGATGAAATAACTTTACTATTATGTTTATAGGTAGGTACGTAAGGTACCTATGGTTTTTAAAAGCGATATATTATGTGTTAAAAAAGATTTCAAACAAAATAAAATAAACTTTCATACTAAAATATCATATTTAAATAATGTAAGTTTATGTTATGTATGCGATGTTTGGAATAACCCATGGTTTTTCTCTGATCATGAATCATAGGGCCATGGCCCTCGGACCACAAGACTTGAGGTTTTTTAGGGGTCATAAATTGTAAACCACATATTTATTTTTATAATATTGTTTTATTAACAGGTAGGTACAGTGTACACTGTACACTTATAAATATTGTGTGCAAAGAAAATAAACATCTCGTGGCTTTAATCCTTGATATATGAACACAAATATTTATCAAAAAAAAAAAATTTATAATCTGGAAATAAAACGTTTGATGCTTTTTAATTTTCTCCCTATATATCGTTATTAGTGTTACGAGAAATAAATGCGATACGATAAGAACAATTTTATTACATCATATCATAATACAATACTAAATACACGTATCACATATCGGAGAGTCTGAAAACTGTGGCCTTGACAGTGGTGAAAAACCTTAATCCCGGCTTGGCAACGGCCAGCGGGTGGTGGGTACAGCTGTGCTACTGCGGCTTACGTCCTGTTCCGGCTGTAGTCCAAGTCGTCGTACGGCGCGTGGGATAGGTCGCGGAAACGGGTACGACAATAATGTATTTGTTAACGATTACCGCGGTACCGTTTGCCGCGCACGCTCGTGGAATTAGTAACCCAACGTACAACACACACACACATATTCATATGTATATATATATATTATATACATAATGATAATACACACATATTTATAGTACGCTGTAGGTTGTCCCGTAGTTGGCGCGCCATCCGTCACGACGACGTTATCACCGTGGCGCGCGTGTCTGATAAATGATAATGTTGTCTCGTTATTTCCAAAATTGTATTTCATTGACATTGACATTTTGAAGCGGACGGTTTTACGTGTCGTCGTTGTTGTTGTTTTTGACTGCCGTCTGTTTCGGTTGTTTTCGCACATTTTTGCTCGTCCGCAATCGTCGTTACTACACAATACGCTATTGCATTATGTTTATTATGTTTTTATATTCTTGACACACTCGACACTGTGCGCGCGCGCGCCCGCGTACTCCCCCCCAAGGGGGAAACTTTGTCCTATCGAATAGCGGATTATTTGGCCGTTTCTGTTCGACTATGTACTACTTGCGGTGCGCAGAGAATTTCACACAAGAAACATTGTACGTATTCGGTATTTACGGCCCCCCGACCTTGGGTTCGAAACGTAAACGTTAATTTTTCATTTTTTTGCCATGTTGCTGACTCGGCAATCGTAGGTAGGTAAAGCCATAGTTTGTAAATTTTCACGTTTGAATCCGTACATGATGATTAGACCGATTGTGCGCACCACCGCCCTAACGGCGCCACGAAAACTGGGTCCAAAGAAATTCTATTCCTCTAATGTTAATGGTGATGGGCCTAAAGCATCTGTCAAGACGAGAGCAGCGACTATGTTAAAATATATTTGGTAAGAGTCCGCTTTGCAGATGCTTATGCCCCCAGGCAAGTAACGATTAAACGACTTACATCAATTAATATTATTTAGTTGGGTATTTGTACAGTAACTGTGGCGTAACTATAGAGATCCTATCGTAATATATTTACTCACTTTTTATTTTGTGTTGCTCAGAAAACTAGATATTTTATTTTTGTAAATACTTCCTGTTTATAATTTAGATGTGTTTAGTCACAAATACATGTATTCCTAATGCATAGGTTATATCTTTTACATTAAAAATATCATACCCATCTTTCTTGTTAATTAATATTATAGTAAGTATAGATATATTGATTCCATAGAAACAATTGTATAAACTTGTAGACAATTTTTTATATAAAGAGACAATTACTAAATTTATATATTTATTAATGAATTATTATAGGATGGGAAGTTTTACATCTAGTGTGAAAATTGACAATGAAGATTCCCAAGACAAGGATTTAACATTTGAAAATCATGTGACCTACCAACAATTACTTGAATACTGCCGTGCTTATGATAATCAATGGCCTAACTCACAACTCATAAAGAGAACATTTACATCAATCCCATACGGTTAGTTTTATTTTATTTAATTCTATACTTCCCATTTTTATTATTCCTACATAATATTATTTACTGGCTATTCAAATGATGTGGTAGTGCTTACAATTATAATATTTTATAAAAAATAATATTTTTTTCATGAACTAAAGTTAATTTTAGTTTTTCTTTTAATGGTGCTATTAATGAGTAAAAAAAAAAACAGTTATATTAAAATAATTAATATTATTTCTTATAAATTGTCTAAAGCAACTATTTCATTAGAATAATTTATAAATTTCATCAAAATAAAATAATATTTGTATAAATATAGAATATTTATTGATCAAAAATTAAATTCTAATGCCTTATTTTTGTATACACCTTAACAGACTAATAATATTGTCTAACTTTATAATTCTATCATTCTTAAGATTATTTTATACATTTAATAAACTAATTTTTTTCTCAAAATGTGCAATTGAATAATTACCTATTTAATTAAATTGTTAATATTATTATATTTATAAACTTTTTTTAAATTTAAAAATGTATTTATTTAGACCCAGATAGTGTAGAAGGAAATCCTGTAAGAGTACTTCAGTGGAACGTTTTGTCACAAGGTAACTATTATGATCAGTAATTTGATATTTTTGTTATTGTATTACCATCATAGTTATTATTAACTGTAATTTTTGTACATATTTTACTATAGCATTGGGACAAAATAATGATAGATTTGACAGTTGTCCTTTAGAAGCTTTAGAATGGAAACACAGGAGATGTCATATGCTCGAAGAAATTCTGAGACATAATCCTGATATTATTTGTTTACAGGTTATATTAAAAAAAATATAAATATTTAATTAATAAAAATCTAATTATTTATTTTTATTTGTTGAGTAGGAAGTTGATCATTTTGATTTCCTCAGCAGAGCTCTAGCCACACAATCTTATAGTGGTCTATTTGTACCTAAACCAGATTCTCCATGTGTGTATATAAATGATAATAATGGACCTGATGGTTGTGCAATATTTTACAAAAATGATAAGTTTGATCTATTAGAAAAGCACGATAAAATTTTGCAAGTATGGACAGTGCACAGTAATCAGGTATAGAATTAATTTTAAAAATAGCAATTATTTAAGTGTTGTTAACACCATAAATTTTTCAGGTGTCATTACTATTGATTCTTCAAGATAAAAGTACACAAAAAGAATTATGCGTTTCTACTACTCATCTAAAAGCTCGTAAAGGAGCCTTGCTATCAACCTTGCGAAACGAACAAGGAAAAGATTTACTGCAATTCATATCTTCCCATGCTGCTGGCCGTCCAACAATTGTTTGTGGTGATTTTAATGCAGAACCTACAGAACCCGTTTACAATACCATGTGCAGTTGTTCTTATTTACCACTAGATAGTGCATATAAATTGTCTGGCTCAGAACCGCTGTACACTTCTTGGAAGATTCGTGGAGGCGAAGGCGAAGTTAAGCATACCATTGACTACATGTTTTACACTAAACATAAATTAACTGTTAGTAACATACTAAACATGCCAAAAGAAATTGATATTGGTGAAAATAGAGTACCATCTTTGTCTTATCCATCAGATCATTTTTCTTTGATAAGCGATTTTTATTTTAACAAGAATACAAGTGGTTGTGATTAATTTTATTTATATTATTTTATTTCAACAATAGTATTTACAGTAGAACCTCATTAATCCGGACAGCCATTTAAGGCTGTTTTTTTGTTTATTTTAGAATAGAATAAACAAGAAAGCAATTTTTGCAAATTTCCCACATATTATTGCAATTTAATACCAATTATAAATTGTCATTTATGTTATCTAATATTCGATTACGGTAGTTGGTTGCCTGTTAGTTATTATGGTGTGGAGTATTTCATATTTTACATATTAGTACATTAAATTTTATTCATTATTATTTATAATTTACATACATACTGTGATGTCGTTAATTAAATCTAGTCGAGGTAAAAAAACCATAAAACATCAGCTGTTTCTTCAAATCAGTATACCAGTATAATAATTATATGTATTTACTTAATAATGATTGTGTAGGGTCTAATACTATGTATGTATCTTGTATATTATAATATATATTCTTGAGTCTATAATACACATACGTTTTTTTGGTAATTTTGTGTAATTCGAATTTTTATTTATCCGAACAACCCAGAGTCCCAATTTGTTCAGAGTAATGAGGTTCAAATTGTATTGCACTTTTTCTCTTAAAAATTATAATGTAAATCATTTTTGTTTTAATAAGGAATTGAGTATTGACAATATAACTTATTATAAATTATTTTAAAGTTTGGTAATGTTGACCATTTATTGTTAGTTCAATAATACTTGCTTAAAATATGTGTACTATATGTATTCAGTTTAAATACTTATTTTTACCATTTTACCAACTTTATTTTGTGAGCACAATGAAGGAACTAAATAACCTTTATAAATTTTAAGTACTGGTTGAATTTACCAATCAAGACTAAAAATATAGTAAACATATTTATTTAAAAGAAAAACAGAGATCAAAATATTTTATTTATATTAATTTATAAGATATAATGATTTATTTAAAATCTATATTTATTATTTATTTATTTATTTATTTTATTTGTGTATTTTAATAAATATCAGGTTTGTTGTAAAAATTAATGTCTATTTGAAAGTTACTTTTTTTTTCCATTTCCTAATGTAACCTATGACATTGGCAAATTTAATACAGTTTATACTTAAAAATTATTAGTTATTACAAATGAGAAAATTTATGATTTTGATTAATTGATATTTGCCAACCATCTTGATTAATATTTTATCATATTATTAATAATTTCCCATCTTAACATAACTACATACATCCAATTTCATCAATACTTAGGACTTCTCTGTTCTGTTTCTTGATTTATGCGATGATTAATCCATTCATCGGTATAAAATTTAGGATCTGATATACATAGGGCTGTTCTTTTGTACAAGTAGTAATGCAAACATGAAGCTGTAATCAAAACGTTTAATAACTGTTATTTTTCATTTATAATATAACATTTTGAATGAAATAATAGGGGCTTACTCAATTGGTTCATTAACATTTCATACAACCTGGCAGTAATATTTATTTATTTATTCAATTTAACTTCTAATCGTTTTCTATTGGTTATTAAATTAAGGAAAAATGTTTTGTTAATAAAGTTACCTAAGGCCTATAGGGTTATATAATCATAATTATGGATTACTAACAACCTCCAAAACTTAATCTTATATCTAAATCTAAATACCTATAACCAAAACTTCCATATGATTATATTATCTAGAAATAAAAAAATGTTAAGGTATTTTTTCCAAAACTCTAGATAAGTAACCTAACCAACTGGTCATTAAAACATAGCGTTTTAATATAATATTGTCTTAAAAGATGAACCTGACTACAGAATAATTGTAATTTAGAGAGATTTTATTTTCACAAAAACAATAAATTGACAATACAGTATGTTAAACTGTAATATCAGACAATGTATTCAGTGGACACCGATCTAGACCAGGTATCATCTGATCAAACGGTTTTTAATTTTTCGGAAAACTGTAAATTCTAATTATAAATCATCATCAAACAAATTAGTATTTCTTTTATGATTAGGTAACACACTTACTGAATTTATGTATGACAAAAAAAACGTAAAGTCCGTCCGGCCAGTAGAAGTAAACCTGGCCCTTAAAACGGTTCGTCAGAGTCCACACCTGCACGAACAGGGTTAGAATAAAATAACCGACACTGGTAATGATGGTCGACCGGAACTCGTTGAACAGCAGCACAATGAAACCAGCCTGCAAGAATTACAAAGCCATCGTAACGTGCTCCGCGTGTCTCCTCGATGAGGATAGTACGAAAACGTACTTTAAACATAGACGCAACTAGGACTATTTTTTAAATTTTTTTGTTTACATCAATATTTATTTATAACACCTCATACTTATTTAATATGATTTACTAAGTATTTACATCCCAATTTTTCTTCGATAACATGTATTTGTTCAATTTTTTTTTTAGAATTTTTAAATATAAGTATTAGAGGACCATATTTTTAATTATTTAGATTTATAAGTAGATACAAAATTAGCTAAATAATTTACAGTAAAAAAGTTAGTTCTCGCATAAAATAAAGAATATTTGGTATCGCCATTGGACACTCCTAAAATGACATGAAAAATCTAAGCATTTGTAAAATTTGAGAAACTGTAGTGTTGAAGTATACTTTTACTGGCTATACTTATTTTTAGACCCTAATCAATTGCGTATGTCTAGTCGAAGAAAACATTTTTCGTGACCATCATCCGATATATTATATTTAGAAGCATCAAGTACCCCCCCTAGTTACGCCTATGAACCCCACGAGTAGGTAATATAATACACATTATTTTATTATTCGAACGTAGGTATCACCTGAAATATGTTGGTCTGGAAGAACGTGATGAGTAACACGGCGATGGCGACCAGCTGACCGATGTCTTGAAGTCTACATTGAGATAAAATACACAAAATCACAATTGATTATTTTTAAAAAAAAGGCTTTAAACCAATTTCTCTTATTCGCCATCCTCACACGAAGAGCAAAATCGAGATGCCCGTGTTTGCCAGGTACCGATGGATGAATGTGTTGAACAACAGGTCGACGGCGAGCAACCCCAGCTGGACGACCAGCACCAGAGTGTACCTAAACTCCGACAGTCGCATTCCTTCGACCGACCTCTCGTGAGTGAGGGTGGACGGCTGAGGTAAGTATATGAGCTGCTGTATACTCGAGCGCAGGCTGTAAGCTCGCTTGCCAACCGACCCCCTCCTCGACCACCGCAGTTTTTATTGTTTAGCCGGAAAACCCACAGCGGTCCCTATAGCAACGTCGGTTTGCCACGCCATTCGTTTTCGTCCAGTGAACATCGTTGCACAACAACGTTGTAGGAAACAACAATAATAGGTAATATAATAATTATATTATAAATACAGTGTTTTACACACACATGGTCGAGAGAACACCGTGGCACATGTTATACCTGAGCTGTGTGCGTGTTTAATTAAAACTCAAATCCAGTAATCGACCGTGTAACTTACATTAACGTGGGCGAACAAAAGGTAGGTAGGTATAGTGATGCGCTAGTAAAATAATATACGTACGACAGGCACAGACTTTGAAACGGTTATACTCCTATGTCCTACAGCACTCTAAAACACTTGTATGGCATCTGGCGTGGATAGGATTTGGATGGTGGGAGGGTAGTTAATCGGGACGCGGATGTCCCGGTGCAGACGATGTTGTTTCAGGGCGGAAACGTATAATTTCAAGGTTTTTTTGAGAGTTTTTAAGATTCTGAATGAAACAATGAACGTATTGGTTTCACGAAGATGTGTGCGTGCGTGCGTGTTTATTTTGTGTCCGTCAACACCTTTTAAGGCAGTAAAAATGTTTCGATTTTCAACTTTGGAGGTGGGTTTTGTTAACAAATTGATTTTACTTTGTATATAATATATATTACATATAAATTCTCAATACCTACTTTTCTAAATGTACAGCAAAAAAAAATTGGGAAAGTGGATAACGTTCTGCTGTATAGTGATCAAGTGGGTCACTGTAACGAGCGTATTAAAATTGAATTATTGTAAAAAAATTCTGAGCGGAAACGGTCAGTCGCAGCGTGAATCACTAAGGAGGTCATTTCATGATATGTTTTTTGATGTTACTATTAAAATAATTAATTTTATAATTAGTACTACTATTAATTATAGAATATTCTATAATTAATGGTATTACGGTAAATTAATTAGATTTTTGTCGAAAACATTGCATTTAATATATTATTAAATTTAAATTTCAAGTATCAACGGTTACCTATTCGTTTTTGGATTGCAATAAAATAACAAAATTTGTTTGAGGAGAAATATTATTTTATTTGTTCAAAATATCATGAAATTTAAAGTTCTCATTTTGTTACGTAAAAAATATTTTACATGCAAAAATATTAAATATTTATAATGTATATATTAGTGATCAGTCCTTTGGATTTTTTGGACCTCCTTTGATACTTATTAACCAAGTTAATGTCTTTATTTATACTTACATATTTAAACTGTTGTTATAAAAAAAAAGTATTTTTTGGGTTTCATGGCATAGGTATAGTAATTATAATACCTACGCTATATTCTATTTTAAAAACTTTTTTATATATAATAGAAAATAATACCATAGTGCATTACATAATATACTTAATGTATTACGATAATATAAAAAATGTTAATTGTACATTACCTAGTTTAAAGGGACCTGATTAGTCACAAATTTTGGTAAAATAGTTGTATGGTGAAATGTCGTATTATTATTTATTTTCTCACACATAATCGTTAAACTTAACCTTTGATATATCATTTTTGTCTATTTAAACTTATTATAAAATATTCCTTCGCAATAATGTTATGTGTGAGACATACATGAGAGACTTAAATAGCTTAATAGTGATAAAATATGGTCTATTACTCAACATACACATAATTTCCGAAAACAGTTTGGTACAATTTTATTAATTTTTAAAATTTTTATAATTTAAATTGTATTTAGTCATTTAAGTTTTTTTATAGGAGTTACAAAGTTTCAAACAGATCAATTGTTAATTAAGTACAATTTAGAGTTCATTCACGATCACAATAGGAATCGGTTTCATAAGATTCATCATATTTTATGACCTTTATTATTATTGTGTGATTTTTTTTTTTTTCATGCTTTACATTTATTAACGACTAAACTGTTAAATATTTCAATTTCTAGAAGTATTTTGCATACGAAAAAAAATTTGAGCAGACGAACTGTCAGCCAATAAATATATAAATAAATAATGACATAATATTATTATTTATATCAAATATCTTATCTATTTACATTGCTATTAATTATTTTTATAATTTATTTTATTAATAATAATATGGTAGTCGGTAGGTATAAACTAAATGTAGGCAATAGTGAATAGTTTAAATTTAAAACTAACATAAATATTTTTTAAATGCCATTGCATTAATGCTCTAATTGTCTTGACGAACTACTAGATCGTGCTGGTGAGCTCCAAAAAATAATCTGATGATAAAAAAATCAAAACTTATGAAAAGTTGATCTGGCAACACTGGAGTATAGGCGTTCTATAAATTGTCAGACGACAGCTATTGGGTACCTAAATATCTTTATTCTCTTTGGAAATAATTTAGTTCAAAATTAGTATAATAAAAATGTTGTTTATTAAAGGCGCTTTCATTGCTCATCGTAAACGTGAAACGTGATAACTGATAACAGTGGTGAACACACGGTCCGAAAAGTATTTAATTACGATTAAGATTTTATAACTCTTTTTATATTTAAAATTTAATTTTTAAGTTAAAATTACTTTTTCACCTATTCACTATGGTAAGTTGCCGTTTGGCGTTCATTGTTATTACTTACTCTGTCTTCATAGTTTTTATTTTAAATATTTCTCTTTATGATTTTTTTTGATTTTTTTTACAGAAACCTTTAATGTTACAAGGGCACGAGCGTGCTATTACTCAAATCAAATACAATAGAGAAGGTGATTTATTGTTCTCGTCTGCTAAAGACGTAACACCAAACGTTTGGTATTCATTGAATGGTGAGCGTCTAGGTACGTACAATGGCCATACTGGAGCTGTATGGTGTATTGATGTTGATTGGAAAACCACAAAATTTTTGTCCGGAGCTGCTGATAACACCTTAAGACTTTGGGATGTTTCTACTGGTAATATATATTAAAACTTTCTAACAATAGTTTAAAAGTTAATTATTTTTAAATGTATTTGCAGGCGTAGAGATTGGTAATATTAGTAGTAATTCTGCTGTACGTACATGCTCATTCAGTTACTCAGCTGATCTTGCCAGCTACTCAACAGATCAGGCTATGAAACAAGAGTGTGAAATTTTTATAGTGGATGCTCGAGATGACGAATCTTTTAGTGAGTTATCAATAAAAGATATGACATTTAAACTGTACAAACATTTAATAAATAAGTTAACATTATAAAATAGTTATAGGTTTTGTATACCGTTTAATAATCTAAGTAAAGTATACATTGATGAATAAAAGTATGTATTATTTTAGGAGGTTTACAATTTATACAAACACTATGATGTTAAGTTTGAGAGGTTCTTTTTGTTTTAAATATTTTTGAATTTTATTATTATTTAAATATATTGTTTTTTTGTGTAAATTGAAAACAATTAGTATGGAACTTTACTGTATTTCACTTATTTAAACAAATTTATTAAATTATTTATTTATTATATATATATATATTAAATTATTAAATCAATTATAATTATGTTATAGAAAGTAGTGCTCCAATTTTGAGAATGACTGTACCAGACTCCAAAGTAACTTCTTTAATTTGGGGTACATTGGACCATACAATCATTACTGGGCATGAAGATGGTGCCATTACTCAATGGGATTTAAGAGTATGTATAATCTTTAAGAAATACATTTTTATTATATATATTGTAAAATCAGGTTTCGATAACATGAATTTCAAGTGAATAAAATGATAACTATATCATAACTTATTTAACTTCAAGGAATATGAACAAAAAAAATAAAGGTTTTGAAGTTTTTGAATTATTTAGACTTGCTTGTATATAATATTTTTGTATGTTATTATAGACCGGAAAAAGCATAGAAACTGTTAAAGACCATCAAGGATCAATTAATGATATGCAAAAGAACCGACAAGGTACTATGTTTGTTACTGCGTCAAAAGACAAAACCGCAAAATTGTTTGATGTTGATGATTTATCAGTCCATAAAGTTTATGTGACTGAACGCCCTGTCAATAGTGCTTCGCTTTCACCCATATACGATCATGTTAGTATATATTTTATAACATAAAATATTTGCCTACTTATTAAATTTAAATTTATATTAAATATTGGTTATTATTTTTAAGGTGGTATTGGGTGGTGGTCAAGATGCTATGGATGTAACAACAACAGCAGCACAAGCAGGAAAGTTTGATGCTAGATTCTTTCATGTAATTTTCGAAGAAGAATTTGCAAGAGTAAAAGGTCATTTCGGTCCAATAAATTCATTAGCATTCCATCCAGATGGTGAAAGTTTCAGTACTGGGGGAGAGGATGGTTTCATTAGGGTACAATCATTTGATCCATCGTATAAAGAATTTAGATTTGATTATTGATTATTTATTCTACTGTTGTCAATAATTAAAAAAAAAAAAAAAAATCAATAAAATATTTAACATCAACTGTTCATCAAGATGTTATCTAATTACAATCCATTTAATATGTTGTTGGATCTTATTGGTTATTAAACCTTACATTCTATTAATTCCTTAACAACACTCAATTTGTGTTGAATTTTATCATATATATAATTTTCTCATTTTCTAATTAGAATTACTAAGAAAATATTCTAATTTAAATGTAAGTTTGCTTATAGCAAACTAAATTTATATTCAGTGGTTAACATTTTACACATTTATCACTCATTTTAAACTAAAAAAAAATAAATATATATATATATATATACAATGATAACAAAATTGTTATTTTTTAAGTTTACGAATAGATCAGTTTAGAGTAATTTTCTTATGTTTCACTTATGTGAAATAGAGATATTATTTACTAAAGTGAATTGCTAAACTTAAATGTATGTTATAAACTTACATTAGGTGTTGCAGTTTGGTGTATTCTTAATATGTACTTCATAGAATATAATTTCTTTTTTAATAAACTATTTTATAAATTACAATTTATTACAGAATATTCACTGCGCTTATTTAACTATTAAAATTGAAAATAATTTATCAGATTTTAACTACTTTGAAGTTTGACAATTTCAATTTTTTTTTGACTTATTAAACATTTAAAATCATTTAATGATTTTTTAAAAATATGGTATATTAATTAGTATTTAATTTTCAATTGTCATTTATAAATATTTTGTGTTCTTTCTTACACAAATATCTAACATTGTGAATTGTACATAATACATATTATGTACCTATATTGTATGTATGTGTAATATGCCAATATGTCTCTTGATTTAAAGCTATTTTATAAAATATTCAATCTAAGTACATACTTAAATAG